CAAGCTCAAAGGGATGGTGTGGCCCGTGTGGCCCTCACCTGGGCAGCAGCGCAGTGCAGCGACTTCTCCAGGACAGGGCGACGAATCTGGGGACTAAAAGCCAGGTTCCACAGCCTTGAAAGTTGTGTTACTTTCCATAACAAAGCGACACAAGTGGAGTGACTTAAAACAACATTTGGAGGCTGAAAGTCCAAACCAAGGTCAAGATATTGGCAGGGGCTTTGTCCCCCGGAAGGGGAAACCTCCCTCGCCTCATCCTGGCATCTAATTTGCCGAGGCACTGCTCTAATTACGGCCTGCAGAGTCACGTGACATACTTAGTGGGCGTCTCCTTCCCCAGGACATTTTCTTATGATGCCAGTCTTAGTGGATTAGGGGCCCACACCATTCCTCTATGAGCTCATCTTAAAAAAATCCTATCTGCAATATCCGTTTCCAAATAAAATCACATTCTGAGGTAGCAGGGGCTAGGGCCTCGGCGTGTCTTTTCTGGGGGCAGGTACACAATTCAACCCATGCCAGGAACCCGTTCACAAGGTCCCTGTATCAAGCCTGGAGTAGAGGAGGCAGGCACTGGCCTTTGAATGGGCCAGGCAGATTTGAATGAGGCCTATACCTCATCCTCAGCAGCAATCGGCTGAAGACCAGAGGCTGTCCCCAATATTTCCAGATTGTGTAAGCACTGGGGACGCTTATATAACCTCAAAAAGGGGGAGGGCGCATTCCCACTCTGCTGCCACCACCCCAATAATATGACTGCGCCTGCATTTCTCTAGGGCAGTGATGGCGAACCTTTTAGAGCTTTCAATGACACACACAGTCCGCTGCAGCACGCGAGCTGCACGTGCCCGGCACTGCTCCAGCGGCACTGATCTGGCACTTGTGCACCTGCGTATGCCCTGTCACTGACGTACCTTGGGGTGCCTCTGTCTCTAGCCATTTCCCATGCTGGTTTCTCTCTCTAAGAGCCTTATTTTCTTAGTACTTTCCACAGTCGCTACTGTTCTAGCAGCAAAGTCCTCTACTTTATCTCTCCTTTATCTTGAAACATTTATGAAATACAGAAGTAGAAGCAAGAAAACCTAAGGCCCCTGGTTGGCAGGTTTAATAATTAGAAATCTTGGCAGTTGTAAGTTTTCTTTAATACACCCTATATAAGATGTGGAGGGAGGAGTGATTACCCTACTAGTCCCTTTAAGCAGTAGGGAAGGGATAGGAAAATGTATTCCTTTCCTCCGTAGAGCACATCCCTAGGGATAAGAATTAGGGAGGCTGTTTTTTTTCCTCCTAGTTACGTAAAACTCAAAGAAGTGCTCCATCTCTGCTCAAGTTCATTTGCGATAGCCCTACTCTGATTTTTCCTTAGTTTTAAAACTAAAATCTCCCTACAATTTTTTTCAATCCCATAAATAACAACCTCCCACTCAGAACCAAAATGGAAGCGTCTGTAAGCTGATCTGTAATCAAAGCTTCTTTACACAGCTGCACAGAGGGAAAAAAAACCCCAAGAAATAAGGCAATAACAGGCAAACTTGTATTTATAACATCACATAAATATTATGTACTTTGACAGTACAACTAATTATCAATAAAATACTGTTCAACTACCTTGTTGATTTGAATTTTTTTTTAAAATTCCCCTTTAAAACCATGAATAGATGATGTCATAAGAAATTCCTCTGCACACCCACCCTAGCAGATAGTCACTAAGGCAGTTTCTCAATCATTTTACAAAAGAAACCTTAAAATATATGTGGTGTGTGGTATGTGTATGGTGTGTGTGTGTGGTGTGTGTGTGTGTATCCCGTGGAACTTTGACTGATGTAATGCCTGAAAATATTCTTAGGCAGCCAGGGAAAATTACTATGGGTCATTGATTCATGGATCTAAAGCTTTATTACCCAGAACTCATTAAAATGTGCTGAAAGATAAACTTGGGGACATTAAACTTTTAAAGAGATCATTAGAGCGACGCGATTCATGAGTCCGGAAGCACCAAGCCACAAGTGTTCTGGGCTCCCATGAAAGGGGCAGAAGGAAATAGCTCGTCTGAGGTCTTCACAGCAGGAAGACAAGGACGATGCCTGCCTGGTTTAGGTGGCAGGTGTCTGCATAGAGACTGGATGGTGGCTTCTGATTGTTTATGCTTACATGTTGTTTTCCTGGGCTATGACCATTTGCTCTGAGTTGAGCTTAGAGTCCTAGAAACCCAAGGATTAAGAGCTGTCTCAGCCTAACCACCTCCCAATTAATAATTTCCCCAAATATAAAGAAGAAAAGGAGGTGGGTGAGAAGAGAGAGTAGCGTCTCATGTCCACTGCTATGGAGTAGAGCCCAAGAAGGACAGGTTTATCTCTTGAGTAATGAGGCTCTGTGTTCAAGGTAAGATGTTTGTTTTAGAGTCAGAGCTATTAGATCCCAACCATAAGCTTTGGATCCTGAAAGCAGTGCTGAGCAGGATAAACAGAGGTGCAGAGACATGGAAATCGCCTAATGAAATCTCATAGCTGCTGCTTAGCTGCAAGGCCAGAACTGGGGATCCTCCCCTTCAGGTCCATGGTCTTAGCTCCCTACACCTACTATTGCTTCTCTTGTAGCTAAAATTAAAATGGCACTATCTTAGAAAAGAAGGTAAGTTTCTGGGTTGAGTTGGTTTTATTTGAGAAATGTTTGTGAAGGCACTAATGAAATATTTCCTTCTGTATATAGCTGTTCCAGTGTATAACCTAACAGATGAAATTGATAGTCAAATATCTTTTCACTTTAGAAGTGAGTGACTACCCCTCTTCCAAAGATGCTCGGCAAGCCCGTTTGTTCTCGACTCCATGTAAAACATCAAGGGGTGCCTCCTGGGCCTGATTCCATGAATATGCTATGCTGGCCTCCAGCTTGTGGGTGGAGTACTATTCACTTAGTATTGTAACTGCTTCTTTGTGTCAGCAACTATGAGTAGGCTTTATCTCCGTACATTATACATAATCCTCTGAAAGGCGATTAGCCATATATCATACACTGATCCCCAAGAAATATAAGAATTGATAGTTTAATCACCTACTTAGAAATCATTTATAGAAAGTGAATCAGTTATTTTTTGGTTTTGAAAATTCCAATGCAAACTAAACCACATTTGTGACGAAGGCATTCACGTTGTAGTTATAGGAGGGATTTTATATATGGAAGGCACAGTCTGTTATATGCTTTTTAATCCTTTATTCTTACACTATTTTAGAATTTTTTTTTCTAAGAAAATGTGATGTGGGATTAGTCTTAAAGCCTGAAATGTACATAGAGATCAGCTTTGTCCTCAAATTATTTTAAGTTAATTACTTGGAACTTGAAATTCTTGAAATTCATTTTGCCACTGAAACAATATTAAAAGTCAGTGTGTACATGAACCAATTCCCCACAAGGAAGGTAAACATTATGTACTACAAACATACATGAAACAGAAAGAGAGAGAAACAGAGAAACAGAGAGAGAGACAGACAGAATGAGACAGGAAGAAAGAAAGAGAAAAATAAAGAGTGAGCTTAGTGATAGAGTGCTTGTCTGATGTTTTTGAGGCCCGGGGTCCTATTTTCAGCACCATTAAAAGATAAATTAGCCTGGCATGGTAACACATACCTCTTATCTTAGTTACATAGAAGGCTGAGGTAGAAGGACAACAGGTTCAAGACTAGCCTGAGCAACTTAGCAAGACCCTGTCTATAAATAAAAAAGGGGCCCGGTATGTAGCTCAGTGGTAGAGCTCCTAGCATATGTGAGGCTTTGTTCCATCCCTGGTGCAAAAGAAAGGTAAAAGAAAAGAAAAAAGAAAAGAAAAGAAAAGGAATGGAAAGAAAGGAAAAAGGAAGGGAGAGAGAAAAGGAAGGAAGGAAGGGAGGAAGGAAAGAAGAAAGGGAGGAAAGAAAGATAAGTAGTCAGTCAAAAATAGAATTCAAGTTGTAGGCCAGGTGTGTGGTGCATATATGTAATCCCACCACTTGGGAAGCTGAGGCAGGAGGATCACTGCGAGTTTGAGACCAGCCTGCACTATAAAGTGAGCTCAAGGCCAGCCTGAACTGCAACGCTAGACCCTGTCTCAAAAAGACAAAAAAAAAAAAAGCAAGTTATAAAGGAGCTTTGTTAACATGTAGAACCTGAAGACTTTTTGTAGAATTGTGGTTTTTATGGAAAAATGGAGAAATATATAAACATAACTTTAGTAGCATTAATTAGCTGAGGTTTGTGGATTGTTTTAAACTAACCTATCCAAGGAAAGCAGGAAACTCCTGTAGATAAATGTAAACACGCACATACACCTACACATGTAGTTCCCATAAATTCACCGCAGAAAACACGCGCATGCGCCCACACACGGGGTTCCCACAGAGCCACCTCAGGGTCAGCATGGCCCGGACGGAGTGGGAAGGACGGACAGTGCTGCGTGGGGCCAGGAGGGGGAGCCCATGCGCCCTGAAGCATCTGCCAATGCCAGGGTCTGCCCAACGTGGGAAATCTTCAAGGGCAAGGAGGTAATTTATGGTAGCAACTAACTCAGCGTCACCCGGTCCACAAGGAAATACAATAACTTGAAAAAGAACCAGTAATAATAATGTCAGCAAACACAGACCCACACATATTTCAGACAGCAGAATAACCTGCTACACATAGATTATAAATCAACTATGCTTAAAACATTTAAGTAAATAAAAAATTTGAAAGTATCTCCAGAAGGTACAAATATACAAGCAGTGCCGTAGCACATTTAAACAGCAATGAGAGTGCAGTGTGTAGAAATGAAAAATACAAACATGCACTAATATAAATAAATAAATAGGAAAGAGCTGGGTTGTAGCTTAGTGTAGAGGGCTTGGTTGATCTTTATGAAGCCCTGGGTCCTATTTTCAGCGCCACTTATGGAAAATCAGCCTGGCGTGGTAGCACACCATGAAATTATGCTCAGTTGCTTTACACTCACTTGCTTCACTTTTCAATATAAGTTTGAGGACAGTTCTTACTGGGCGAAGTTGTGGATGAGGACACGAGTGGAAAGAGTGACTCCATTCAGGGGCATTTGGAACTTTGGGTACCAGAGGTGTGCAGAGCTCCCAGTGCCCTGGGGATCCCAGAGGCAGCGACTCCCTCAGACACCCGGCATTGCTGTCAGTTCCACATTCTCAATCGCGGACTCCGGGCTTCTGTAACAGGAAAGAAGGAAAAGCAACAGGGGAGAAAGACACCATCTGCTCTTCTCAGGACGTCGGAAGTCAGAAGTGGGCCCTATTCATGTGTTTTAAATTCCAAAGCTGGCCCGGAGCCAAGGAGAGCGGTGAACACATTAAATAATGATAGTGTATTTCTGTTTGGAAACTGATTGCTTCGGAGACTCTTGAGAATCAGCTGTGACTAAATAAGAAAATGCGCCATACAGTTCCTACCAGCCACAAATTCCCGCTGATCGAATCCTTTCAGAAGGGAAGACTTCTGATCAAGGTGGACAGTTTGGAGGGCGGTTAGTAGGGATCGAACCTAGGGCTTCCCACGCGCTAGGCAAGCACTCCAACATCCCTGCCCTTCTCCGAATTGTATTTTGAGATAGGGTCTCACTATATTGCCCGGACTGGCCTTGAACTTGTGATCTTTCTGCCTCGCCCTCCTGAGCAGCTGGGATGATGGACATGTGCCACGGCACCTGGCAAAGTGGGGTGGTCTTACTTGAAGAAATAAATGATTCCGGTGGTAGAAGAATCGGAGAACTGTGCACACAGAAGAAACCTGAGAATTTATGTTTCCATCAGAGGGATTCAGTGTGGTAAACACGCGGTCACATAATGTTTCCCCAAATCACAGGGTAGAGTAAGTAGGGTGATGCAGCCGAGCAAAGCAGTCTCTCTTGATTCAATTTCCTTCATCAGAGCCTGCTGTCACCATGCAGGAGCCGAGGAGGTCCGCAAAGCAGAGATGGGGAACCTTGAACACCACTACCCACAGGGCAGCTTTCAGGTTTGCTGACTTTCATCATAGAGAAAGAATTTTTAAGACCCATTCGTAAGAGGCATAAAGGGTAGAATTTTAAAAGTACATACTCAAAGAAATAGAGTAAGGGCCTTCAAAAGAGAGAGGGGCACTTATGGCTCAGTCAAATTGGGACTAGAATATATCCAAGGTGGAAGACAGATGATGTGCCTCTGAGCACGCCATGTGGGAAAAACAGATTGGTTAATATTAGCAGCGTTTCATAAATTCCCACAAGACAGCAGTGTTCAAAAATGACTGGCAAGGGGCTGGGGATTCAGCTCAGTGGCACAGGGTCTACCTGGCAAGTGAGGTAGTGAGTTCGATTGCTGGTACCGGGAAAAACAAACAAACAAACAAACAAAAAATCCAAAAAAACCAAGCCAGAACAAAACAAAACAAAAATGACTGGCAAGTTAATAAGCAGGAACAAGGGGGAATGCTTCAGAAATTCAGAACTTCCAGCATTGAAAAAGGCAACTGCTGGTCAACTCCAAGTAATTAAACAGATAAAAATGAGAAAACATACTACCTTTGCAGGAAAGAGAAAACCAATAATATGGCTATGAAACTTCTGAACAGACAGGTGACACCTAGTAAATCCTTTCAGTTAGCAAAACAAAAAAGACTCAGGGAATCAGGCGTGGTGGTGCATGCCTATAATCCCAGCACTCAGGAGGCTGAGGCAGGAGGATCGTTGCGAGTTCGAGACCAGCCTGGGCTACAAAGTGAGCTCAAGGCCAGCCTGAACTGCACAGCAAGACCCTGTCTCAAAAAGACCAGAAAAAAAAAAAAAAAAAAAAAGACTCAGGGAATAGAGACTAAAAGGAATGGCTCTCTAGAATTCCCCCATTGTTAATAGTTTTACAACATGAACCATATCATATTTCTTATAGTTTAGATCTGAAATGTTCCTCAAACTCTGTTGTGCTTGGAAGGTGACTGAATGGTAAGGGTGCTAGGCTGCTGATGGGCTCAGCCATCCATGAGCTCCATAGCTGAATGTACTATTAGAATGTGGGGTCTGGTTGGAGGTGTGTAGCAGAAAATGCCTCCCAACCAGTACACTCCAGTTTGATACTTTCCCAGGTAGTAGTTCCAGTTCAAATTCTTGTTATTTTTGTTTCTTAGAAATGATTGGTCACTGTGATGCATAACCGGTCACTATGATGCACATTGTAAGAACCAATCCTCAATTGACAAGCCATTCTGCCTCTGTACTTCCTGCTTGTTTATCCCATAAAAGCCCTAGACCACCAGAGATCAGAACCTGATATTTTGGGGATGATCTCAATCAGTGCCCGTTGACATGAAATAAATCTGCCTCCAAATCCTGGGTGTTGTTTCGGTGTTTCTGCTTGCCATTGCATCTGGTGCATCAGCTGGAAAGACCAACCTTGCTGACCTCTTTGGTCACTGGTCGTGCTCCTCACGGATGGAGCAAGGACCTCTCCAGGTCTTGACCAGAAGTCACACTTGGGATTTCTTGAGTTACCTTGGAGATCTGGAGGAGGATTCCTGGCTCTCTGCTTGAGAGGCTCACATCAGACCCCAAAGGGAAGAAGACACAGTCTATTTGCCTTTCTGCCTGCCTGCCTGATTTCCATAAGACCCCCAGGGACACCCCATTTAGTCTGTCTGTCAGTCCTGTTCAGCTCAAGCAGAAGGGGAGTCTAATCAACTCTTGTTAGTCAGAACCACCTTCTTTTTTCTTTTTTCTTGTTATTTTTGTTTCAAATTTTCTTTTTTTGTTGTTTTAAAGACAATAAAAATAAGAAAAAAAATAAAAATGATACAGAAGTTCAAAACAAGATAGGAAATAAACAACGGTTGTTGTCTTGCACAGCGTTATCTTCAAAGTAGTTGTTCAGATTACCAGCTGTAAGCATGTAAAATTGATCAAACAATTAGGCATTGTAGTGGATTGATACCGGGTGTTCAACTTATAACCCCCTGCTGAACTGAGTAAGTGTGGTGCTGGGTATGGGAGGCCCACCTGGGGACTGTTGCCAGCAGCATAAGAGGCAGAACTGGAGGAGAAGTTAGGCTGTTGGTAGCAGAGAAAGGCTGTTGGAGCTGGTGGAAGCTGTAAGAGGTGTTGGTTCTGTTGGAGGAGCTTGTCATTCTGGCTTTCCTGATGAATTTGGCTGTTTTCATCCTCCAAGGATCTCAGGACCTCCTTGGCACTGAGTATGGCTTTGGTTCACTTTGAGGGAGCTCTGGTCCTCACTTTGAGCATCACTTCCTTCCTGGCTTTGGAGGGGAAGATGGAGCACTGCCCGTCTCCTGGAAAAACTTGCTGTGTTGGCTTCCCTGATGGGAACTCGGCCATCTTGATCATTGGAGGAGCTCGGGACCTCACTGTTGCTGAGGATGGCTGTGGTACCTTTGGGGGAAGCTCTGGTTCTTCTGATGATAATTTCACTTCTTCTTTCCCATCCTTATTCCTCTTATTTCTCTCTCTTGTCTAACTGCTCTGGCTAATGTTCTCAGAACTATTGAATAAGAGTGGTGATAGTGGACATCCTTGTCTTGTTCTTTATTTTAAAGTGAAAGCTTTCAGTTTTTATCAATTTAGAATGATGTTAGTGTTGGTTTGTCATAGATGACCTTCATCAGATTAAGGTAAAGACTGTCTATTCCGATTTTCTGTAGGGTTTTTATCATGAATGAATATATGACTTTATCAAAAGCTTTTTCTGCATGAAATGAGATGATCAAATGATTTTTGTCTTTGGCTCTGTTGATATGGTGTCCTACAGTTATTAATTTGCTTATATTGAATCTTCCCTGCATTCCTGGGACGAATCCCATTTGGTCATGATGTATAATCTTCTTGATGATTTGCTGCATTCTGTTCGTTAGTATTTTATTGAGGATTTTTGCATCTATATTCAATAGGGAGATTGGCTTCTAGCTCTCTTTTTTTGGGTGGGGCCTTCCCCGGGTTTGGGAACAGGGTAATATGTGCCTCCAGGAATGAGTTTGGGAGAACTGCTTCCCTTTCAGTTTCATTAAATAGTTTGAGAAGAATTGGCATTAAATCTTCTCTAAATTTCTTGTAGAATTCAGTCCATCAGGTCCTGGGCTTTTCTTTGTTGGTAAGTTTTTGATTGTGTTTTCAATTTTATTGACTGATATTGGGTTATTCAGGATTTTTATATCTTCTTGATTCAGCTTTGGTAATTCATATGTATCTAGGAATCTGTCCATTTCTTCTGTGTATTCCATCCTACGAGAATAAATATTTTTGAAGTAGGTATCGGTGACCTTCTAAATTTCTACAGGATCTGTAGAGGTTTCACCCTTTACTTGCTGCATGAATTTGAGTTTTCTCTTTCCTCTTTTTGATAAGGTCAGCTAGGTGCTTATCAAATTTATTTATTCTTTCCAAGAACCAACTCTTCAATTCATTAGTTCTTTGTATTACTTTCTTAGTCTCCACTGCAGTAATTTCTAATCTTTATAATTTCTTCCCTTCCTTGGGCCTTGGGGTTGATTTGCTCTTCCTTTTCTAGAAGCTTGAGGTGCAGCATTAAGTTTTTATTTGAGCTTGTTCTGTTTTTTTGATATGGGAATTCACTGCTATAAATTTCCCTCTTAAGGCTGCTTTCATTGTGTCCCATTAGTTCTGGTATGTTGTATTGGCATTATCATTTAATTGTAGAAACTATCTAATTTCTTCTTTAAATTAATCTGTGATCCATTGGTTGTCCAGAAGTGTGTTATTTAACTGCCATGTGTTTATGAAGTTCTTGTGGTTTTTTTGCCATGGATTTCAAATTTCATTGCACTATCACCTGATAATATGCATGGGATAATTTCAGTTCCTTTGCATTTATTTAAGCATGTTCTGTGGGCTAGAATACAGTTTATTTTAGAGAACATCCCATGTGCAGCTGAGAAGAATGTGTATTCTGATGTTGTTGGGTGAAACACTCTGTAAAGGTCTACTAAGTCCATTTGTTCACAAGTTTGGTTTAGTTTTATTATTTCATTGCTGATTTTTTGTCTAGTTTGTCTATCTCCTTGTGACAATGGGGTGTTTATGATTATGTTATTGTTTATTTGATTTTTCATGTCTGTTAATATTTGTCTAATATAGTAGGGTTTTCCCCTATTTGGTGCATGTATATTTATGATTGTTATCTCTTCCTCTTACAGTTTTCCCCTAACAAGTATGTAGTGACCTTCTTTATCTCTTTTGATTGTTCTTAGTTTGAAGTTCCCATTGTTTGTAAGCAGAATAGATACATCTGCTTATTTCTGGTTTCCTGTCTCATGCTGTATTATTTGTCCATCCTTTGACTTTCAGTCTATGAATTTCCCTTTGTGTTAAATTTGTTTCTTGTATACAGCATATTGTTGGTCTGGCTTCTTGATTCACTTCTTTTGATTGGTGAATTGAAGCCATTTACATTAATGGTTATAACTAACATGTATTGGCTTATTTTTGTCATGTTATTTTCCTGCTGTTGGTTCCCTACTTTTCCCCTCT